AAGTTGATCTCTTGTCGGTGACAGACCCTGCCCAGTTAGCATCAGTGAGCAGTTCTACATCTCTTGTGGCTTTCCAAAGAACAACCCTTTCCCTGGTGTCATGTTCAAGTATTGTAGGATTTCATTCATAGCCTCTAAATGTTCTTCTGTTGGGTTATTATGAATTGACTTACAACACCTACTGCAAATCCAATATCTTGGCTTAGCATGTGAGAAATTCAGAGATCTGAATGTTTGTTGGATTCCTGAGCCTGATTTTCTTTTGGCTCTCTTCCATGTTCTCTTTTGCAAACGCTATACAAAGAGTGAGATTTGGTCTCGCTCCCAGGATTCTTCCTTGGACGTCATCTAGTTCCTTGTGAAGCTGAGGAGAAATTTATCTTCTTCTTGATGATTCTCTGATACTAGACTATCCTCAGGGCATCGCCACTGATACTCTTCACGCACATTAAGTTGCTGCTAGTTCCTTATTAAAGCGTTGAAGTTCTAGGTCACTGAAAAATCACCTTGACGAAGGTCGTGAAGTATGCTTTCTATGGCAAAGATTTCTGAAGTTTTGGAGTATGTTTTAGAGTGGCGTCCCAAATCTCTTAGCCGTCTTGAATAGGAGAAAGTTCTCTCCTATTTCGTTTGTCTTTGAGTTGACAAGTCAAGACATTATCATACAGTCTTCGGCTTTCCAAGTTTGGTATTTTCTGTCATTTATGGTTGGTGGTTAGTGGCTCTTGTAAAGTGGTCACTTTTCCCTTTCCCCTGCACGATCATCAATTGCGATCAAGGTAGGCAGTTTTGGCTATTTAACTTGTGTCCAGTGATGGACATCATTGGCCTGTCTGTCCCGCTGTTTCCTACTGAAACTGTTTCTGTTGAATTCACTGACTTTGGGATTTGAAGGTGGTCAGTTGTGCCATACTTTGGCATTCTGGGTATTTTAGGTTAGATGGAACAGAAAACCGTGCTCTGATAGTATGAAGGAAGCTATAATATTTTTTTTTTTTTTTTTTTATGTTTTCCTTCTACACTATTATATTATTTATAGGGTTAGATACCAGATAGTTATCATTTTTTTTTCAAAAAAGAAGGTACCAGATAATTTTCTCCCAAAAATTGAAAAGAAAATATACTTATTGAGAATTTAAGTGGTCACTTTTCCCTTTCCCCTGCACGAACATCAATTGCGATCAAGGTAGGCAGTTTTGGCCATTTAACTTGTGTCCAGTGATGGACATCATTGGCCTGTCTGTCCCACTGTTTCCTACTGAAACTGTTCCTGTTGAATTCACTGACTTTGGGATTTGAAGGTGGTCAGTTGTGCCATACTTTGGCATTCTGGGTATTTTAGGTTAGATGGAACAGAAAACCGTGCTCTGATAGTATGAAGGAAGCTATAATTTTTTTTTTTTTCATGTTTTTCCTCTACACTATTATATTATTTATAGGGTTAGATACCAGATAGGTATCATTTTTCTTTTTAAAGAAAGGTACCAGATAAGTATCTCCCAAAAATTGAAAAGAAAATACACTTATTGAGAATTTAAGAAACTTTCCTCTTTTTAAGATTCTAGTGTCAAATCTATATCCTATTTCTCCTCCTATTTATTTTCTTAGATTATCTCCTAAAATTTCTGTACTTTCTTTTTTGAAGGGAAAGTAGAATGTAGTCTAGGCTGTTGTAAGGTTTTGATTCCCCCTTTTCTGCTGTCACCTGATAGCTTAAATCACTTACTCTTGAGAATATAGGTTTTACTTATAAAAAGACACAGGGTTTTCCCTTCTAGACCGT